ATCCAAAGCTCTTCTCCCCACGGGGAGGCTGTGGGGTGGCGTGGGGTTGCGTGGCCGTCCTGCTGACAGCTGCGCCTGCAAAGCCCTGCGCTTCAGCTCACCGTGTAGAAGAACGCATTTCGCCCTGGCCGGGCAGCTCAGCAGGTTAGCGTGTTGTCCTGATGGGCCCAGGTTGCGGGTTTGATTCCGGCTCAGCACACATACAAGGACTAACCAATGACTACGTAAATAAGTGAAACAACAAATCCCTCTCCAGTAATCAATTAAAAAAGAATGGAACACATTTAGGAAGAGCCTCCCAGACCTTGAGACCCTGGTCCTACCTAACGACGGCATCCACCACAGGAAGGTACACATTCCCTGCAATGAGAGGAGGTGCACCGACTTACGTGCACCTGCCTGTGGCGTGTGGTCTTTTCAGCGTCCTGGAGAGTTCAGTTTGCTAATATTCTGTTGAGGGTTTTTGAATTTATATTCATCAGGGAGATTGGCCTGCACTTTTTCTTTTTTCTTGTAGCACCCTTGTCTGGTTTTGATATCAGGGTTAGTCTGGCTTCACGAAATGAGTTTGGAAGTGTTTGTTCCTCTTCAATATTTGGAAGAGCTTGAGAAGGATAGGTATTAATTGTTCATCAAATATGTGGTTGGATTCACTCTTGAAACCATATGGTATGAGTGTTGCTTTGCTGGGAGATTCCTGCTTCAATCTCCGTCCTCACTATCGTGTGTTCAGGCTTTTTGTTTCTTTATGATTCAGTCATTGTAGGTTACATGTGTCTAGGGATTTTATCAATTTCTTCTAGTTTATCCATTTGTTGGCCCCTGATTGTTCATAGTGGTCTCTTATGGTCCTCTGTATTTTTGTGAAATGAGTTTAAGTCTTTTCTCTTTTTTAAAAATAATTGGTTGAGCTAAAGTTTTGTACCTTTTGTTTATCATTTCAAACAAAGAGCTCTTAGTTTTGTCCATCTTTTCTATTGTCTTTCGGATCTGTATTTCCTTCTTCTGCTAACTTAGGGTTTAGTTTGTTCTTTTTTTCTTCTTTTAATAGTTCGCTGATGTAAAAAGTTAAGTTGTTTATTTGATACCTTTCTTCTTTATTAGTGCAGGCCTTTGTTGTTATAACCTCCCCTCTTAGAATTCCTTCTGCTGCGTGGTGTATGTTGTTATTGTTTTTGGTCTAATTAAAAAAAAAATTCCCTTTTGACTCCTTCCTTGGCCCATTGGTTGTTCAGCAGTGTGTCGTTTAAGTTCCTTGTTTTTGTGGATTTTTCAGTTTTCCTTCTGTGAGTTATGTTAGTTTCATATTATAGTGATTAGAAGAGATACTTGGTGTTTTTTTCAGTATTTTTAAATCTGCTAAGATTTGTTTTACATACATCCCGTTACAGACATCGGACCACAGGCTGTTCAGGGCTGACCCAGAAGACGGGTCAGGTGTGCAGAACACTGAGAGGGGGACAGCGGGCACCCCCGTGAAGGACCAAGACCAAAAATAAGAAGTCAGTGGAGACACAGAAAAGATTCTCTTTATCACTTAAAAATTTCTGCAAAAGGCACCAGGCTCTTAAAAGCAAAATAAAAACACTATATGGTTGACTTTCTACTTTACATAAATGTAAACGGTATGACCACAGTCATGCATAAATTGGGAGGGAGGAAGTGATAGTAAGGTGTTGTCGAGATCTTATTCGTGCTGTGAAATAATATTCACTGGAGAAAGAATATAAGTTAAAGGCGCATATTGTCAATCACGGAGCAACCACTAAGAAAATAACATGAGATACAGCTAATAAAGCAATAGTTGAAATAAAATGAAATTTTAAAAGGTCACCCAGAAAGGCCGAAGAAAATGACAAATGGGACAGACAGAAACAAGTCACAAGACAGTGAGTTAAAACACAACCCTCTCAATAACATTAGATGTAAATGATCTCAATGCTTCAGTTATGAGACAGTCCGGTTGGATTTAAAAAGCAGGCCCAACTGTGTGCCGTGTGAAAAGCCCACTCCCTAGATAGAGACACAGAAGGTTGCAGGGGAGGAATCCAAAGAGATACGCCATCCGAAAGGGAAACCTCGCCCAGGTCACGCACACACCACCTGCCGTGGCTCTATGAACGTCAGATAAAGTGGACGCTAAATGGTACCATCTTTACACCCGGGTTATAGAAGGACCTTTCATAACAACAAATAGGCTAATGCATCCACAAGGCAATACTACTGGCTGTACCTCAGAAGTCACTGAGCTTCAGAAAACCACAGAACCTCAAAACCCAAGAAGGAAACGCCGACATGAACAAATGGAGAAAGAGATGAATCCGCATGTATAGCTGGAGATTCCACATCCCATTTCCAATACTGGGTATTGTTTTCTTGTTTTCCTAAACTGAGCACAGACAAGGGAAGAGAAACTGGGTTTCCTAATTCAAGCTTCTCCCCAGACACCTCTGGCCTTTGGTTTCACTTCCACACGTCCCAACTGTCTTATAACTCGAGAGGCCGCGGGAGGGGCAGAGTGAACTGAAGGCTCAGAGGTGGGTTGGAACCCGGGCTGTGGGTGCATCGTCTGTGCTCCCTCGGCCTCTAGGGGCTCCTTTGTGGGGAAGAGATGGTGGCCTGCCTGCTGTTCTGAAGGAAGCCGGGTCCCTGAGTCGCCCGACGTGGGAGGAGGAGGCTGTCCACTGAGCTGCAGGGGCCCAATCAGGGGTGGGTGCGGCCAGTGTTGGGTGAGGCGGACTCCCAGCACAGCCGGGCAGGTACCCGCCCCGACAAGACTCTGTTCTCTGACTTTTCACAAAGAGGCCAAATCGCACCAGGGGTAGCTGATCGCGCCCGGGGGTGAACGTGCCGACAGCAGCGTGCAGGGCTGGCCAAGGGAGAGCAGAGACTGCCGCGGTCCCCACATGAGCAAGGCCATCTGTCCTCTAAGAGTGAAAGGAGTGAGGGGTGTTGGGCCAGGGGACCTACATGTGGTGGGGGACATTTTCTCCTCTTCTCCTCAACAGAGAGACTGGTTTCACCAATGAGTAGAATGAAAGGGAGACTGTCCCTTTGCCCCTTACTGTTCCTTCAGTGACAGTGCCATGAGTGCCTTCCAGGCCCAGGAAAGTCCCTTTTCAGACTTAGGCTTTGACCTTGAAGGGCCGTCCACAGGCCTTTCTCCGGTTGCGAGGACGGTGCAGGGAGTCCCGGCTCTGCCGGCCGCGGACGGGCAGTGGAGGAGCGGCACCTGCTGTTTTCCATTCCTGAGCTCGCGCTACACGCCGCTGTGGCCCGAGGGCGGGTTCCTCTCCATTTCAGTTCTTTTAAATTGGGTAAGATTTGTGTTAAAGCTCAGAACGGGGCCTAGCGTGGCATATGGTCCATGTGCACCTGAAAATACGTGTCTTCTGTAAATTTCAACTTCTACAAATGTCCATTAGCCCCGTTGATGGGAGGTGTCAGGGGCGGCCTTCCCGGTCCCGGGTCATTTTCTCTGTAGCTCTTCCCTTGGTGGCTGGGGGAGTCGGGGGGGGGGGGGGAGTCTCTAACCATGGTCTGGAATTGCCTAATGCTCCTTTCGCTCGTCAGCTTCTGCGCGGAGGTTTTGCCTCTCTGTTGTTGGAGAAGACATGTAGGATTGCTTTGTCTTCCGGGTGGAGTGACCTTTTTATCACTCGACAATGTTCCTTTCTGCTTCTGGTAGTTTCCTTTGTTCTGAAGTCTGATTTATTTGCTACGAGTATAGCCATTCCTTCTTCCTTTTGCATGATTAATAGTTGCACCATTTACCTTCTCCACCCTTTAATGTTGAGCCTGTTTCTGCCATGATATTTGAAAGGATGTTTCTCTGAGCAGCTTATGGTTGGGTCGTGTGTTTGATCTGCCCGCCAATCCCTGTCCTCTCCCTGGGCACAGACAGCAAACCCACGCCCCTCCCTGAGGGGTCCTGGCTGCAGCTGCGATGGGCGTGTCTGCTCCTGGGGCCCCCGGGGCTCCTCCCCGCACTCCCAGCGGCTCAGCTGCTGTCCCTGGGGATCTCTGGGCTCCATCCCTCTGACCTTAGGCCAAGAATCAAACGTCACATTGCTCGCACCGGACTCTGCTTTTCTTTCTTTCTCATTTGTTTCCCGGTGGCCTCCTCCTCTCTCAGCAACGTGACAATGGCAGACTTTTCCTGTTCGGTCCTTGCAAAAGGGTATTGAAAAGTGGACAAGACCAAAACCAAGACTGCGCCTCAGGGCCCCACGGGGACCTGCGCGCAAGCCTGGGTGCAAAGGGACCTTGACAGCGGAAGTGCCGCGTGTCGGCCTCGGCGCTGGGTCCCCGGTTCGTGTCCGCAGTGGGTCCAGGCGGGGCTGCGGGCCTCTCGCGCCCCTACCTGCTCCGCCGTGGCCGGTTATCCCCCGCTTTGGCGTGACTCTTCAGTGACCCGAGGGCATCAGTGACCTGGGACTCTGTCTGCGAAGGCACCGGCCCAGGGAGCTGTGGGTGCCCGGCAGGACCGGGGGAGCCTGGGTTTGGTGTGGTGGGGAGTCTCCGGGGACAGAGGGGCGGCGCGGGCGCAGAGGTGAGCGGGGCCGACCCGGCCCACCCACCGGGGCCCGGAGCTGAGCTGCCGGACCCGCCTGGGGCAGCGGAGCTGGCGCTTCGCCCGCCAGTGCGTCCCCAGTGCTTGGCCCACTGAGGCCTGTCCGCCCTTAATCATGAGATTGAATTAGAAGTTTCCAGACCTCTTAATTTTTTAGGCTTTACCCCCGAGTTGAAAAGCACACCCTCCCCCGTGAGCGTGCCAGCCAGTGAGCAAGGGCCGCGTGGAAGTGGATTTTCATAGGGTCTCAGTGGCTCCTAATGACTCGCGTCTCTAGTTTTAGTTTCCTTGGCCTTGTAGAAGCCTCTGCATTCGAGCTGCTAAGGGGACTCAGGGGTGACACAGGGGGTCGTCCCTGCTGCAACAGAGGGACAGTTCTCCAGTGTGTTCTCTTCCTGTGGGTGCACCCCCCAGTGCATGTGTGTGCACACGCGTGTCACTGCACTTGGGCACGTGTGTGGTTTTGCAGGTGGGGCCGGGGCTGACAGAGTAGTGTCCTCGTTCAATGCGGGGATCAGGCAGGGGAACCGACAGCTACAGAGGCTGACTTCCGACAACACAGTGTGAGCGCCCAGTGCATTTATTCATTCAGGGCCTGGTCAATGGGAACAAACGGGCGTGGACTGAGGCTCTGTGTTGGTTCCCGCCCGTGGCCCCGTGGGCAGATGGGGGCTCATTCCCTGACAGGGGACAGGAGCCTGAGGTCAGTAGAAGGCAGGCAAAAGGCGCGACAGTTATGTGGCTTAAGTAAGAAAGGAGCTCAGAGAGGGCCAGGTCACATGGGCAGGTTTGGGGGTGGAGTAGATGGGACCTGGTAGGACCTTGTCGTTGGTAGATCAGGGCCAGGTGAGGGTCCCAAGGAAAGCCTGTGGACCCTGAAGGGACAGACACCAGGAATGAGCGTGATGCTCAGCTGACAGGTCAAAGTCACGGTTACAGTCTGTCACTGAGGACCGACCTGGGCCTCAGGCTTGTGTCTGGCGAACCAGAGCAGCCAGAATATGGCCAGGACACCCAGCAGCCCCACCGCGCCTTTCTTCCACCGCGGCACCACCCAAGCGCACAGCCGGACCCGCAGCCCGCGCCGCCGCCAGCTCTGGGCGCGGACCGCCAGTTCCTGGGCCACCCTGCGCCTCTGCTCCAGCGGGTCAGCGCCGGCCAGCGCCTGCGCCTGCGCCAGGGCGTAAACGTCGTTGGTGAACGGGGCGCCGGAGTGGTCGCTCACCAGGCGCTCCACCATCTGCAGCAGCTCCTGCACCTGGGCTTCCTGCTCCGCGCCCACTGCCCGGTTGTTGAAGGCGCACACGCGGCCCCCGCACTCGGCCACCAGCCGGCGCAGCGCGCGGTTGTCCGTGTCGCGCACGTACTCCTGCAGCGAGCCGCCCGCCAGGTCCTCCTTGCGCGTGAACAGAACCACGGTGTGCGCCAACACGCGATCCCCGAAGAGGTCCTTGAGGGCGCTCAGGGCGTCCTGGTCCTGTGCCGTGAAGCGGCCCAGCTGAGTCACCAGGACCACCGCGTGGGGCCCGGGTGCCGACAGCAGGTAGCAGCGTGTCTGCTCCTCACACCCTGGGTCTGTCTCGGCGACCTGGGGGCTGAAAAGGTCCGGGGTGTCCATGACTTCCACGAGCCACTGACCCCACGTGCAGCTCCCCACCTCGCAGGTTCTGGTCACCGAGGTGGCTGCCAGCCTGGAGAGGAAGCGTCTCTCGCCCAGGATGCTGTTCCCAGTGGCGCTCTTGCCTGTCCCTGTCCTCCCGGCCAGGATCAGCCTCAGCCGGCGCTCCTGCAGGACCTGCGTGGCGTCCTTGGAACCTGGAGGACAGGGGTCTGTGAGCTTCCAAACCCATAAGCACCTAAGTACCTTGGTTACCTGCCCCCACCCACCACCCCCGAGGCCTTTAACCAAAGGAGAACCACCATGTTTCAACTCTGCTTTTCCAGGCAAACCGTTATTGGGGTCGTTGGTCAGAGCCGTTTGACCCTGGGGGACCTTCACCATCTGCCCTGTCATCTCAGGTTCTCCGTGTGCCCCTGCAGATGCTCAGCCCCGGGGTGGGCATTTCTCTCGAGGACGCCCCTTTACAGTCCAGGCTCCGCCTCGCCTGCTCTATCCTTGGTGGTCCCCACCGAGCACAGCCGTCCCCGTTGGGCAGCTTCAGCGGCCTCTGCCCTTCTCCTCCCAGATGCCACCCAGGGAAGAAGGGCAGGAGGGGGCAGTGGCCTGGGCGTGACGGGCTGTGTGGGGTCCCAGACACCTCGGGATTGACTCACAGTCCCGCCATAAGCCAGCGGTGCCACCCGGGAAGTTCCCTCATCTAGGTGCTAATTAAACCTTAGAGCAAAACGGGGAGTAATAGCGTGGTGTCGTTTCCTCCTGGGGGTGTTGGGAGGATGAGATCAGATCCCTTCTTTCCTTCCTTCTTCCTTCTCTCGCTCCTCCTCCCTGCTCCTCCCGCCCCTCCCTCTGAAACCTGCTGCCTACCAGTAAGACACCTGTTCCCCCCCCTCCCCTGCATCCTGGGTCTCTAAGGCTCTTACCTGATGAATCCCCCTCTGGTGCCCGAGCTGATGCCCTCTGCACCCTCCTCCGTGGAGGTCAGAGTGGGCTGAGTGTCCTCATCTCACACTTTGGCCACGGAGGCGCCGGCCAGTCTAAGAGGTTAGTGCCCCCAGCTGGGCAGGGGCAGAGCCGCAGCCGCTGCGCACGCCTCAGGCCTCCTGCTGTTTGGCCCCGACACCTCGGGGAGCCCTTTGGGGCCTGACTGCTCGGTCTGGAGCTCGCCCATTTACCTCATCTCCCAGAGCTCACCCCTGGGGGCGAGTTCGCAGTGCGAGACACGCTCTTACCGTAGGCGCTTTCCTCGTCTCTTGCCTTCCTCCGGCCTCCCATGCTCCGCTGAAAGAGTCCCAAACACAGTTGGTTCATCACATAGGTGTAACTACCTCCAAAGAGCTGGGGACAGCACCGTGACACAGTCTTGGGTCCCGCGTCCCCTGAACAACGGAGCTGAGGGACGAACTCCGGAAGGGCCCGGGCAGGGGCGGGGTGGTGCTGGGACAGGGTCTGCTGAGCTCGGTTGGTCTTTTCAGGGCCGTCAGATGCCACGGCCGAGGGGAGACGGGGACGGTGACTCAGGTCAGGGACAGAGCTTCAGGTGCCCTTTTCTCCCAGGTAGTTCTGCGTCGGGGACCAAAGCTGTGGCTACTACGTTTTCCCAGGAGGCTTTGGGAAACTGAGAACCCAAACAATGGCTCCGGGAGGGAAGCCCTTAGAGCGGTGGGCGCGGGAGAGAAACCGGAAGAGAACTGGATTTGGGGTTTGGGAAACTGGAGAAGATATGTAGGTCACGGGCGACCTGGAGAGCCTGTGACTCCGCGCTCCGGACTCAAATCCTAGTCCTGTCTACGTGTTTCTCCTGGGATCTGTGTCCAGGAGAGCCAGGGCCACGCCCATCCGGCTCCTGGTGCCTCGCCTCCCAGGCTGAGGCTCCTCCCAATCACATGGTTGCAGCCAATCAGGCAACATTTAATAGGATCGGCCCTTCTACGATCACGGAAACCGGAGCACAGCGCACTGTGTGACCTCAGTGTCCTCTCCAGCCTCGTGACCAGGACCCCGTCACTGGGCTGCCCCCAGAGAGCAGATTCCAGGCCTTTCCAGCCGCCTGTGCCCTCACCACTGTGACCGTCCAGCCCTCCGCCCGCCCCCCCCTTCCCCAACGCTGTCTGAGTCCTGTCCATCGTCCACTTCTAATTCCACCTGGTTACCGCAGGGACTGCGTTCTCTCCTGGTGGCACCTGCTAAGGAAAGGCCAAGGGGGATGTGGGCCGAATACCTCGTCTCTGGCCAAAGCACTTCGAGGACAGGCTGGCCTGGCCCTCAGCCCAAAGGCGATGGCGTTCCTGCAGGAACCCGCCCCCTCCCCCGCCCAGGCCACTCTAACATTCACACCCCCGCCTCCCGGCTGCCTGGAGGATCCACACACTCCCGTGGGTGTCAACAGACCAGAGTGGGAGAAAGAGCCACAGATTCAGAGCAAAGACCAGGAATTTAGTGGCAGCAAAGCGTCCTGGTCCAAGATGGAGGTGGGAAGGCCCAGGGAAGTCCCAGGACCGAGGGCAGGCCCTTCAGAGCTTCCCGCAGCGTCTGCGGTGGGATTCAGAAAGTTCTCTGCGGTCCCAGGGAGCTGACACCTGGGTCACAGAACACACGCTGTCCTTGAAGGGTGGACAGCACCCAGGGTCCTGTGTCTGAAACCCCCAGGGCAGGTTTCTTCACCTCGCCCAGGGCTCCCTGAACCCCCTGGCTCTGGGCGCTATCCAGGGGATTCTGGGAGAGGCAACTTCTCAGCGGTGCCGGGGCGCAGACCCGCACTTTCAGAACAGCAGCAGCCCCGCTCCCCGCTGCGGGTGCTTCCCAGGCGCTCAGCCTGAGGCCCGAGTCTCTGGACCAGTCCCCCTGGTTCAGCCCCTCGTCCTGCTGGCAGTGGGGGCGGCGCTCAGCGGCTCCGCGCCCACATAGCCTGGCAGCTCCGGCTGGGGAGCAAGTGTCTAAGGGCAGAGGTGGGTCAAGGGGCGAAGACCGTGGTCATGACGTTGGCCTCCTCCTGCAAGACCCTGTGTGGACAACTCGGAGGAGAGCGGGCTGTGTTAGGTGGTTCAGCCCAGGTTCCCACAGAATTGTCACTTTGTCCCTTGTTCTGAGGTCAGACTGGCTTCCATGTGCTCAGAAGCCTGTCTGCTTGTGTGACTATGCAGGTGGGGAGAGAGCCTGCGCCTTCTAAGGGAGCCTCGGTCCCTGCAGGAGAGCCAGCCACCCCTCCCTCCTTGTTTGGGGGCCCTTGGGAGAGCGCCGGTCCCTGGGCCTGGGGGCCGGCGGAGCTGCTGCTGGGAGCCTGCCCTGTGTGGGACTCGGGGGTCCTGAGTCTCTCCTTCTAGGCCCCGCGCCCCTTCCCGCTGCCCCCTGGCCCTCAGGCGCTCACTCAGCGAGCCCCCTGCCCCCGCTGAGACCTTCCCCACCCTCACAGCCCCGCCCCTGCGGCTGCCTCCCCGGCTGGGCTCACCTTTCCTGCAGAGGAGGCTGCAGGCTGTGACTGGGCCCCAGAAGCCCCTGACCGACTGCTGTCCTCAGGTTGTGAGCGCGCAGCAGGCTCTTCCTCCTCTTCGGAGGGAGGAGAGTGTCCTGCCTCTCAGCCTCAGAGGGCAGGAAGCCCTGGGAGGGGGGGCAGAGGTGACAACTTAAAGAGACAGGAGCACTCCCTACTGAGGGAGTGAGTGGGGACGTGAAGTTTTCTACTGGAAACTTCATTCTCATTTTTGAACAGTGACTTTAGGGCCTGACTGCCCTCGTCAGACCCTCCCGCACAGAGTACAGAGTGGACGGACGAGAGCAGGCCTCTGGGTGTTCCCCCCCGATCTTAGCGGGGGGAGGCTTCAGTCTGTCCTCGCCCAGTGCAGCGCCAGCGGTGGCGTTTCTACAGGTGCCTTTCGCAGGTTGTGGAAGCTCCTGTCTCTTCCTAGAGGGTTGAGTGTTTGTTTGTTTTTTTGAAAGGGTGTTCAGTGCTGTCGAGTGCTTCTTCTAAATCTACTGAGATTGTCCTGTGTTTTTTCTTCTTCATTCTGTTGTTTTGATTTACTGCACTAATTGATTTCTGGATGTGAAGCCAGTTTTGCACTCCTGGGATAGATTTCCCTTAGTCGCAGGGTATATGCCTTTTTGAATAGCACTGGATTAGTTTTTTAGTATTTTGTTGAAGGTTTTTCTGTCCATATGCATAGCAGATACATTTCTGTAGTTATATATCATCAGGGAACCCATCTGGGCCTGGGTTTTTCCTGATAGGTAATAATTTTTATTAGTAATTTAACCTTTGTATGTATTATAGGTCTATTTCGATGTTCTATTTTTTTTTCTTGAGTCAATTTTAGTTTATGAATTTTTCGATTTCATCTATGCTTTCTAATTTGGGGGGGGCATAAAATTGTTTGCGACGTGTCCTTATAATTGTTATATTTTGATAAACTCAGTAACACTGTCCCCACTTTTATTCCTGATTTAGTAATTCTCTATGTTTTTAGCTAAAACGGTCTAAAGATTTGTCAAATGTTGATATTTCCGAAGAACCTAGCTTTAGTTTTGTTGGTTTTCTGTAGTGTTTTTCTATTCTCTAGTTCATTAATTTCCACTCCAGTCTTTATTATGTTTTTCTTGTGATTCCTTAGGTATACGTTGCTGCCTCAATCACTACTTAAAGCAGAATAGTAGGGTATTGGTTCGAGCTCATTATTGTCTATTCAGTGTAGCTACATGCATGTTTCCACCTATGCATTTTCCTCTAAGTGTTGTTTTAGGTACTCCTCATAGATTTTGTTATGTTGCTTTTTCATTTTCATTCATCTCAAATATTTATAATTTCCTTTCTGATATCTTTTTGGCACATAACGTGCTGTCAATAAAGAGTAAATGAAAAGTCTGTTTCATCTGGCTTTTTGTTCCTGTTGGTTCAGACTTTGATTGTTCTATTTGCCTGAACTTTTGCATTCAGCCTTAATCCGGTTTCACGCGCTAGCCCTCTGGCCAGCCCCCGGGAACAAACCAACACCAGGGTACGAGGTCCTGGTAACAAGGCCACGGGTCAATGTCAAAGCTTATGTTTTCATTGAAGTCCTACTCACAATGTGCTCTGACTTTATCTTACATCATAGCCACTGAGACTGGAGTGAGGAGCAGGCCGGAGGGATGAGAACCGCTACCCGCCTGCCCCTGTTGGAAGGCGCCACGCTCTCTGGGGTCCCAGGGCAGAGGGGTGGCGTCCGCTGGGCCTCCGCATCCGCCCAGAATGGAATCTCCTTCGAGGGGAGCTGAAGGTGTGTTGGGGAAGGAGAAAGTCATGGCTCAACTACTATGCACATTCTCACCCCTCTTACTAAGATTCAGCAGAGTTAAAAAAATTAACGTTTCTGCACTTGCTATATGGCCTTAGGACAACTTTTAGAGACTTTAATGGAACGACATTCACCAGTGACCACTGTCCCACCAGCAAGGAGTCCGCAGGGCGCCTCGCCGTGGCCTCTGCCAGAGGAAACCCTGTGAGCGGTTTTAGACCCAAGGCGGCTGCACGCAGGCCCCTCCCTTCCTTCCTGCTGAGAGCAGAGATTTGGCCTCGCTTAACTGCCCCTTCTTGTTGTTCTGTTGTGGTGTGGAATGAGACGTCGCTAAGTGGGGAGCTCGGGGACAGCTGCCATTGTCTTCCAGGTCGCCATCTTCTCCTGCAGTCCCTGGCTTTCCACCTGATGCAGACGTTGGACCTGCAGCGGATCGCGGAAATGCTGGTGTCTCCTTACATTCCCAGAGTCCTTCACGGTGGCGCACAGCTCAGACCCCGTCCTTTAATGCTCCTGTGACATTGCCTCAGGACCATGAACATTCAGAAACAAAGAGGCCACTCAGCTGCTATGGACCCTGAACTGCGAGAGCTTCAGTGTCAGCAGGGGAAAGGCAGCCACGCCCAGCAGCACCCGTCCCGGTGCAGAGCAGAGCGCGCGCTGCGGGCTCACGTCCAGGCCGCAGCGCTGGGTGTGGCGCCTGCTCCGCGCGAGGACCTGGTGCGGGTTCGGAGGCGCCCGGGAAAGTCCCGCGCCCCGTCCTCAGGGCGGCGCCAGCTGGGAGGGTCCGAGCGGGTCCCGGGCCCAGGTTAGGGCGGGGTCCGCGGGAAGGGCGCCCCTGGCCCAGCCTGTGTCCTGTCGCCCCTCTGAACACACAGCAGGTGCAAATAAGACGCATGGCCCTGTCACCGAGCCTCCCTGGCCTGTGTGGTGACCACAGCCTTCGCGATGAGCCACACAGCCGAGCAGGACCTGGGGCAGGAAAGGGCTGCGGCTGGGGCAGGGCGGAGGCTTTCCTGTGCACAAGGGAGTTTACCGGCAATCGTCCTGCCGCTGATTTCTTTGAAACGGAGGGGTTATGAGAAACAACAAGACTTCTTCTGCTGTATATGCTGGGAAATACATGGAAATTGTCCCTTCATTCCTTGTTCCAGCTGTTACAGGCCATGCGTCGTGCGTAATGAAGCACTTCAGACCATCGGTGGTCTCTGGCCACGGAGCGCAGATGATTAGAGCAGCACCCACTTCCTGGTGCGGACACCGACCCACTGAAATAAATACTCCATGTTATTCATTTTTCTTTTGTATCTTTGTCCTTTTCATTGACTTTACTGGGGGTGCCTTTGGTTAACAAAATGGTACACGTACCAGGTGCCCAACCCCACACTCCTCATCGGGACCCTGTACTGTGTGTCGGCCTCCGCAAGCCGGGCCTCCTCCAGAACCATTGACTGGCCCCGCCATCCCCCGCCCGGGGCCACCACCAGGCTGTTGTGTGTGTCCATGAGTTTTTCCTCGAGAGCTCGCCCCAACGCCCCCACTCCCCCTGCCCTGCCCGCTCTCAGTCTGCTCTCCGGTGAAAGGACCTCATTTTATGCTTGACAATGGGAGCTGCAGAGAGGTTCCCTTACCCACGTGCAGTAGGTTACATAGTCCCCCCCACCCCGAAGAAAGCCGCGCCCGCATCCCCAGAAGCGGTGAATGTCGCCTTATTGCTAAGGGGTCTTTGCAGACGCGGTTCCTTCAAGACAGGGCGATGGGGAGATTGTCCTGGGTGCTGTGAGCGGGTCCCGCAGGGAACCGCAGGGGCCTCAGAGGACGGAGGCAGGACGGTGACAGGAGGAAGGAGGCCCTGTGGCGTCGGCAGCAGAGGCAGGGGTGGCGCGGTCAGAAGCCAAGGAATTCTGGCAGCTTCTAGAAGCGGGAGAGGCAAGAAGGACGCCCCCTGGAGCCTGCGGAAAGGCCAGCCCCGAGGATGCCCGCAGGTGATCTCCACGGGCCTATGAGCAGGCGCCTGGCCTGCAGGGCTCCGGGAGGAGGCATCCTTGGCCTCAGGCCGCGAGGCTGCTGGTCCTTGGTCATGGCGGCCGCGGGCGTCGGGCGCACCCAGGCTGGCCGCTCGTTCGTGGGAGAGTCGGGACAGGGGGAGGGGCCCTTCCTTTCAGCTCCTGTCGGTCTTTCCGTGATGTCAAGGGGGGTCTGAGCTTTGGATTGTCTGGATGACAGCAGCGGAAAAGATCCTGAGCTCCACGAGGCGGGCCCCGAGAAAATCTAAAGAAATGTTTCTAAAACCCCCACCTTTGAAAAATTCATATACATCCGTGTGTGTGTGTGTGATGCAAAGAATGAACGGGAAAAAGAACGAAAGGGAATGAAGCAAAGGAAGCCGTGGCTTTCCCCGCAGTCACGTCCTTGCTCCTGACCGTGTGGCGGGAGCCGCGTCCGGGGAGCGGGCAGAGCACCTTCAGGAGCTGCGGGTGGGGACCCGCTGGGGGGCAGGAGGGTCACGGCAGACCTGGACGTGGACAGGACCCCCCGGGACGAGGAGCGTGGCCACGTGGACAGTCAGGAGAGAGGTATCGCGGGTGTCCTAGAGGGAGGTGCCCCCACCCCCGATGTCGTGGACCGGATGGGGCTGCCAAGGTCCAGGGCCCCTCCGGGCCACTGGCCTCAAGGCCGTTCCCGTCCCGGACCCGCGTCCTCTCCCTGCAGCTCCTGTGGATCCTCTCATCCTCCTCCCCCCTCCCTTTGGGGACCTGAGCAGAGCACCTGCGCGTCACACCTGCAGACGCAAGGCGGCTCCCGGCAGGACGAGGCTCAAGCGGGGACCGTGGAGGGTGACCAGAGACGGGGCCGTGGGGGGATACTCTGAGCAGGAGGTGTGGTCCCGGCTCACACACGTGCAGCCCGGTCAGGTCGGCCCCCTGTACGGCTGCCCAGGGCCCTGTGCTTAGGGGCCCCTCACGGGGGTCTGTGCTCTGTCAACGGCATCTTGAAAATCTTCATGATTTTTTGAAAAAACAGCCTGGATTTTTCCTTTTGTGCCAGACCTTGTGATTTCCATAGCTGGTCCTGGCCTGCGTGTCTGCAGGACATCAGGAAACTCCCTGGGCCGTTCAAGGTGACCCCGGCCGTTAACACCAACAATGAGTCCAATGCTACGGACCCATGATATGGTCATGAACCCCCCCTTCCAGAACTTGCTGCTTCCCTCCGTGGGTAGCCCCCCCACGGTCCCCTGCTTCCTGCCACATCCCGTCCTCTCACTGCCTGCCCGAAAGCTTAGGCACTGACCAATCCAATTTCTCAACCTAGGGCCCCCAAACACATAAGAACTCAATGCTGTACGGAGACGCCGCGGTCAGCTAGAGCAGCTTGTCCACCGTGGGAGCTTTGACAGCCTGCCTCTCTCTGAAACCTGTTCCCAAGCCCGATGCATCCGCCCGCTGGGTGGGTCTAGGACAGGTGCCCCGTCGGGGCCCGGGGTGGGGAAGGCGGGGGGGTTGGGAGAGACAGTTGCGCCCGCTCCCCGGGAGCGTCTTACTAGGCGGGTCCTGCGCACTCTCAAGCCGGCAGGGACCACGTGAAACCGCCCGGAGTCTGTGCGGTCACAGAAGACTTTTCTACAGATCCCCTCCCTCTCTCTGCGCCTTGGCCCCCAATAGTGAGGACTCCTTGGACTCTGCAGCTGGGTCTTGTCGATTTCTGAATGAGGAACGTGAGCCCCTCCTGACAGACTGGACTCACAGCCCGCCTCCTACAATACCAGCAGCACCCGAGGGCGCCCCGGTCACCTGCCCGCCCGCCTTCTCCCAGAGTCCCCGCCGCCGCCCACAGCACAGGGAAGTGACCAGACGCTGGGCCTGGCTCTCCAGGCCAGACTTGGGTCATTTGATGCGGGCCTTTTGCATCCACCGCTATCACCCACAATGCTGAACATAGTTTTGGAAGTTTTGGCGCAAGAGCCGGCCCGTGGAGCCGAGGTTTGAACTTGGCAAAACTGGAGCACCCAGCAAGCTACGGGCCGCTGGTTCCGTCTCTTTAAAGGCAAACAGCTCCTGCGCCGGCCCCGCCCGCCTCGGCTTCCTGGGTCTGTGGCCTGGGGAGCGGATCCCGCCCTCCCCACAGTGAGAGCAGAAGCAGCCACTGAAGGAGCTTCACTGGGGACAAGCAGGCACTGGTCAGCGGGTTGCACAGAAGGTGAGCCTGGCGGGGACGCGCCTGAGGGACAGAGCTGCGGGGACAGAAGGGCCCGGGCATGGGCGGGGGTGGTGGTGCCGGTCCCAGGAAGGACCAGGGACCGCGGCAACCCCACGGGGCGATGCGAGCGCTGTGAGAGGGCGATGGGGGGGTAGGAAGGGGAGCAAGGGGCTGTGTTATCAGCAGAATGTCGTGTGCCTCATATGACAGGACTCGTATGTTGATGGGGGCGCCTTCAGGCGTGTGCTGGTGACAGACCATGATGCGCCTTCCTCCCCCCTGAGCGGAAACCAGTGTCCCCGGGGCAGGTGCTCAGGGCTGACGGCGATGTAGACACCACGCTGTCTAAATGCGTCTTTCCACTGCGAAGATCAGGATCCCAGGCCGGGTGGCGACCCCCCTCCAGGGGTGGCCCGCGTCCCTGGTGGCAGAGGAATCAAGGACGCAGGGTCCGTCATTCAACACAGAGAGGCCGGGGCCCCACCGTGTGCCGCGCGCGGTGAGGAGGGCGCGGAGGTGCGGGAGCAGCGCAGAGGAGCCCCCTGTTCTTGCCCTGCGCGGCTCCCCGGCAGGCCTCCGCCCTGGAGGGCGTGGGCGCCCCTCCCCGCCCGCCCCTCGTCCAGCTCTGACGGGTGGGGGTTTAGAGTCGGGGCCGAGGAGGAGCCCGGCAGAGGCCGCTGTGGGCCGCGGTCAGGAGGGAAGGCGGGCGTCAGGCTCACGTTCAATCGGGTGCCCGCTCTGCCCAGCAGCTGTCAGCGCGGTGACCTTGGGCAGGTGTCTCAGCATTTTTGAGCCACTTTAACGTGCTTATTTTAGTATCAAAGTATTTTTGAGAAACTGCCACAGTGTTTTGCATAGAGGCTGTACCAGTGCACATTCCCACCAGCAGTGGATGAGGGTTTCTTTTCCTCCACGCATTCACCACTTGTTACTACTTGTCCTGTGACAACAGCTACTCTCACAGGTGCAAGGTCGTACCTCAGGGTTTTGTTCTGCATTTCTCTCATTGCCGGTGAGGCTGAGCATCTTTCATGTATACTTGTATGCTGGCCTTTGAATAACTCCTTGGGAGAAGTATCTGTTCAGGACCTCTGCCCATCTTTAAAAAAAAAAATTCACCCGAGGGTATATTTATTGATTTGAGAGAGAGACACACACACACACACACACACACACACACACACAGACACACACAGACACACACAGACACATACACACACACATCAGTGTGAGAGAGAAACATCCATCGGTTGCCTCCTATATGTGCTCCAACTGGGGATCGAACCCAGAATCGAGGTATGTGCCATGACCAGGGGTCTATCCCACCACCTTTTTGTTTCATTTTGTTTTGTTTTTTCATTTTTAAGTGCATTTTATTGATCATGCTCTTAGAGTGTCCACTTTTTCCCTTTACCCGCCTCTGCCCTGCTCCCCATCACGTGTCTCCTGGGAGGGCTACGCCTCCCTCCTTCCTCTCTTTCTTGGTCGTGCCGAATAATTTTATTTTTTGTGTGTGTAAATGCACTTTATAAACCATTATTTTTTATTTTAGAGAAATATGTATTAATTCTATTTTTAAGAAACGTTTTAAACATGAGTTGGTGTTTAGTCGGGTCCAACGTCTTTTCCGCATCTGGGTAGGTTTCTTCATCAACTGTTAATGGGATGTGTGGTAACAACCAGTTTTTTCATATTGGACCATCCTCGTATTTCTGAACTAAATCCCACTTAATTGTGTGTATTACTTTTTTAGTGTCTAATCATTTAGTTAGTATTTTTTGTATTCCTCTTTCCACATGAGACACATCTGTAGCTTTATTTGTTGGTGAAATCTCGGTTAGCCTTTGGGATCAGTATTACACTTGATCCACAGGAAGCGTGGAAACCCTTCCTTCCTTCCTTTGTGTGATCAGGAGCAGCTCATGGAGCCCCGAGCGAGCAGAGCTGTGAGGTGCAGGCGCGCTGCCCGGGGAAGGCACCTGGAGGCGGTGCTCCTTTGTGGGAAAACTACTGTTTTATTCCCTCCATCGTAATTGACCTGTGTCATCTCTCTGTTGTTCCTGGGGTCAGTATGAATAACCGACTAGTACAAATTCTCAAGGAGAAAAAGAGGGTTGGGAACGGACTCCACTTACCCAAGTTGACCCTCCCCTCTCCTTCCCTTCCTTAGGGCCTCGTGGGAACCTGCACCCAGAGTCTCTTGACACCAGCATGGCCGGCCTTCAGGCCAACGCTCTGAGGATTGTTCTGGTGGGAAGAACCGGATGTGGGAAAAGTGCAACAGCAAACACCATCCTTGGGAAAAAGGAGTTTGATTCTAGAATTAGCGCCATGTCTGTTACCAAGAGCTGTGGGAAAGCATCGCGGGCCTGGAAGGGGAGGGATCTTGTTGTCGTGGACACCCCAGGGCTCTTTGACACCAAGGAGTCACTGGAGACCACCTGTGAGGAAATCGCTAAGTGTGTCCTGTACTCCTGCCCCGGGCCTCACGCCATCATCCTCATACTACAGCTGAACCGCTACTCGAAGGAGGAGCAGGATACAGTTGAATTGATCAAGGCCATCTTTGGGGAGCGCGCCATGAAGCACATGATCATCCTGTTCACTCGCAAGGAGGATTTGAAGGGCCAGGATCTCAGTACATTTATAGCAACATCACAGAAGTGCCTAAAAACCATCATTGCGGAGTGTGAGTTACGCTGCTGTACCTTCGAGAACAGAGATGCTGACGAGGCTAAGAAGGAAGCTCAGGTGCAAGAGCTAGTGGAGCTGATTGAGACAATGGTGCAGGAGAACGGTGGGGCTCACTTCTCTGATCCCCTCTTTGAGGACACAGCTGAAAAGCTGAGACGTCTGGAAGAGGCCTTGAAGAAAATCCGTGCTGACCAATCAAAACAGGAGAAAGAGGTAGAGCAGCTGGGTATTCAGAAAAAAATATCAATGAAAGAAATGGAGGGAAGAAAGAAATCCATAAAGGAGCGATCTGATAAACGATTTAAAACTACAAAGGAAAAAGGTGAAAAAAGTATATTTACAAATATTTACAAACAGATTTTGAGCATACTTTCAAAAATATGGCCTAGGTTCAGGGACTAAAACAAATTTTACTTTTTCTTCTTAATTTACTGTGATTTCCTAGTGTGGTAGATTGGGTTTTCCAAATATGGCTCCAGCCATATCCTCTATCTCAGCTGTTCTTCTTGTACTCTGTGCCGTTACTCCTTGTGCTGAGTTGTGGGGACTCTGTGACTGCTTGGATAAGTAGTAGGTGGTGAGACTTCCGAAGTTAGAGACAATCCGCCCTGCTCTCTGGGGTACACGCCCTCGGAACGTGGCCGCCATGCCGTGAGGAAGCCCGCGTTGCCCATCGAGACGCCCCATGAAGAGGACGTGAGTCCTGCCCGCCCCGGCTGCTCTCCCTTCTGCCCGTGTGGCCCCAGGGCAGTGGGCTCTCCAGCTGCCAGTGGAACCACCTCAGAGGACGCTGCAGAGAGCAAGGACGGGCCATCCCCACCGCATCCCACCCAGACTGCAGATTCACGAGAAAAATAAACGATGTTGTGTCCAACCGCTCAGCTTCGGGCTGGTGTGTTGGGCGGCGGTAGCTCCCCAGGGCATCCTCCCAGCTCAGGCCCCACGATCCCGCAGCGCCCGCACATTTGGGAAGGTACGAAGTGGGCGCAGTCAGGACACAGTACACTATGTAGAGTTCAAAAACTCAGTTTAGGAAAAATCAAATAAGAAATCCTTTGTATGTCACGTGTCAGCCCCTCTGCTGAGGCTCATTTTTCCCCGTCTGTGTCCACGAGCCCGCGGTCAGTGAGCCGCAGGCGCCGCCCCCCACCCAGCAAGGGGGTTCTGAGGTCCCCGGACGCCTGGAAGGCGCCAAATCCCCGTATTGCTGTTCTCCCGTTTCTTTTCAAGGCACCATCCTAACGTGAAGTTCCCCTGACTATAACTCAAAAATATCTTCTGGGCGAAATGCTTCTCCTTTGCCTCTGCAGACCCCCACATTGCCCCCCTCCCCCCAGCGCTCTGCCCCCGGAGGATGCTCTACGCGGGTCACATTGTTACCGAACTCAAGGGTTCGCCACTTGGGGTGTTCTGCTCAGGGGCGAGACGTGGTTGTCACATGGTGCTACCTACGCACAGTAAGCGAAGGAGACGGGGATTCACACCCGCAGGGCTCTCTCCGGGAAGGGAGGCCGAGCCGTGGCCCACGTTCACGAACGGCTCAGTCGCACAGTTGCAGTTGGCGGCGCTCACCTGGTTGAGTTCTTGCCAAGCGCGTCCTGCTCGCAGCGGGTCTGCAAACGCTGCGCTGCACTCTGCACTTGAACATTTAGCCAGAAGAGCTCAGAGTGGCAGCGGCCCCGTCCCGGAGGCCCCGCCCTGTCCGACCACGTCAGCGGGGTTCCTGGCTCTCGGAGTCCTGCTCGGCGTCTGCCGATGGCGAGTGTGGGCAGGACCCTCTTCGGGGTAGAAAGGCAAGTTGGGGTATTGTCCTGCTGCCTCCCTCCCTGCCAGGTCACCTCTGACCTGCTGCCACCTGGTGCGGAAGGTCACACCTCCTCTACCCACCCCGCTTCTGGGGCCCAGCTCTCCTTCACCCCAGGGTTAGGGTGTCATTTCCTCACTGTTACCAGCAATGTCCCTTGTCACTTGCAAACCCTGTGTCCCCTGCTTGTAGGAAACCCCTGCACTTGGCTCTCTGACAAGTATCTCATTAGAGGGATGGATCGACCTTAGCGACACCCACAGACTTTTCTCTTTCCCATGTACCCTGATCTCTATTATTGTATTGAAAACAAAAAAATCCCTCCAGTGATTTCCGACACCAGAAACGTTTCTCCTGGGAGCTGAACTCTCTGTCGTTACCCAAGCAGAACGCTCTGCGTTCACGCCTGGGGAGTCTGCTGAGGTCTCACCATTACAAAATCACACGAGGGTACCGGTCACACCCTGAGGGATCCGAGCCCCGGCCCGGGGGACGTGCCACGTCAGTGGTTCGGGTCATGGGGTTCTGGGTAGAGAAGCTTGTCCCTGGTTCTGGGAATTGCTGTCCTTACCTGTGTTTTCTCCCGCGTGGCACAGCATTGTGGCTGTGGCAGCTGAGAGCGCAGCCACCAAACCAGCCACCTCCGAGCTCAGGAAGCCCCTTGCTGCCCTGCCTGGGCCCACTGCAGAGCAGGAGGGGTGGTCGCCAGAAGCGAGTGTGGGTGACAGACGGGAGGTGGGGCTCAGCCCGGCACCTCTTCCTAGACGCTACCGTGTCGCACCGTGCGGGGCAGAGGAGCTGTGACGGGGTGGGCCCGGCCAGGCGGCGGCTGGCGGGGCGGCCGCTGCAGAGCAGGACGCAGCGTGGAACTGCCCCGACGGAGGGCGTGAGGGAGGGAGGAGCCGCGCGTGGGAGAGGCAGAGCTTTGGCAGTCACTCCTCTGTGTCCTCTACTTGTCACACGTGCAAGTAGACCTTTTCCTGCCACCAAGGCCTGTGTTCCTTTGTCTCAGACACGGGACCCCCCGATCCCACTGTGTCTGTTACTCTGGGGAGGGCATGGGGCAGGCGTCACCTCCAGTTGACCTGAATGCTGGACCTAGGCTGCTCCCTGCCCCCAACCCATACTTGGAATGTGCATCCAGCTGGCCCCGTTTCTTTCCAGGAGCTGCCTCACAGACACAGCTGTGAGATAGTGACTTTTTGTTGAGACCATCCGGGTGGTGTAAGTGACTCAGCTCAGGTGAGGAGTATATACACTCTTTCCAGATCTGGCAGGGGCACAAAATATTTGTTTTGGGGCCACTTACGACAAGCCTTGTGGGTCAGTTCCCTGCCTAATTAAAAAGTGCCACCTCCCCATCAGATGTGGTCAGCAGCTTCCTAGGGTCTTTCCCAGCTTCACATGAGGACCTGTGTCACATTACTCCCAGAAGGTGAACTACTGACCTGTGCTTCTAGAAGAGCAGTCTCATCTCTGTTTGTAAACAGAGATGAAAAATGGAGCGCCTACCGCGACAGTTCTCAAGTTTCTTCTTCCTGTTAAAAAGCTTCTTGAGAAAAAAAATCTAGATGGCGGAGGAGTGAATAGCTCACACTGACCTCCTCCCAGGACCAATTTGGAATTACGACTAAATTGTGGAGAAATCACCTGGAACAAACAACTGCACAATAGTGAGAGAGGAGCCTTATGACCTTGGACAGGCAGAAGAATCAGCTTTAGCACAACCTAACTGGTAAAGAGTGTGGTAGAGACTTGGGAAGACAGGCGGGGTGCCCACTGCGGCAGCACCAGAAGGTAATTGAAATGGCCAGTTGGATCCCCCTGAGAAGAGCGTGGTCTAAACCATTCCTGGGGATCTCCAGCCTACAGCACCAGAGCCCAAAAAGTACAGAGATAACAGCTAGCTGTGAAAAGCGGCAGAGTTGCCCTCTGCCAGAGACTGGTGGCTGGAGATGCAAAGAGCCATTTAAACAGCCAACACGTAAATTTTTACTTGCAGTCACTTACCCTGGTCTCCAGTAAAGGTGGGGGTACAGTGGGCTAGAGAGGCCTGAGGAGAGACTGGGGAAGGAGGCTTAGGGGGAGAACTGAGAGAGGAGCCAGCAGAATCCCGGTGCTGACTCAACCCCATATGGCAGCAGCCATCTTGCTCAGGCAGACCATTCCCCTGAGCAGCAACAGTATCAGAGGACACAACAGCCCCGCCCCTAGGAGGGACTCAGCCCTGGGCCCGATGATCCTAAAGCCTGAGAGCTGAGTACAGAGTGGCAGCCACATATAGTAGATCCCTGAGTAAAGGGGGTGCAGAGTGGTCTAGAGACACTTGGGGAGAGACTGGTGACAGAGGCTTTGGGGAGAGAACAGAGAGAGTAGCCAGTGGGATCTTGGTGCTGACTCATCCCCTATCCAGCAGCAGCCATCTGGCTCAGGCAGACCATTCCCTTGAGTGGCAGCAGCGTGAGGGGACACAATAACCCTGCCCCCCCAGGAGGGACTCTGCCTCGCCCTGTGGTGTCTAAGCCTGACTGTTGAGTGCAGAGTGACTCGATTAACAGCTGAAGGAGACAGCCACAGACAGTAGATTCCTGGAAGTCTTGAACAGACTGCATAAGATCGGACAGGGTCAACATCTGACACTATCAGAGGCAGATTCTGAAAGAAAAAAACAGCGGTCTCCTACCATAGAAGTTCATACCACAAAGTCAGGAAATCAAGACAGATCAACTTAAGAAGCAGAAGCCAAAAAGAAGAGTCTCACTTCTTATAAAATGGGGAAGACAAAGAAACACCGCCAAGTTTAAGGGAAAGGAGGAATCCCCAGAAAGAGAACTAAAGGAAAGAGAGGCAACTAAACTATCAGATACTGAGTTCAAAATGATGGTTCTAAGGACGCTCAATGAGCTCAGTCAGCTCAGAGAGAATTACAAAAAACTACAGGGAAGCTACGAGGAACTTACTGCAAACTATATCAGCATGAAAAAGGACATAGAAACTATCAATAAGGGACAAGAGGAAATGAAGAATACAATTTCTGAATTGAAGAACACAGTAGAAGGAACCAAAAGCAGGCTAGATGAGGCAGAGGAACCAATCAGCAAGTTGGAGGATAAGGTAAATAAAAGCTCCTAAAAAGAGCAAGGAAATGAAAAAAAACTAAAGAAGAATGAAAAGGCACTTACAGAAATGCAGGACAACCTGAAACATAATAACATTCATATAACAGGGATACCAGAAGAAGAAGAGGAGGAGGAAGGGATAGAGAACTTGTTTGAAAAAGTAATGCTGGAAAACTTCCCTAATTTGATGAGAGAAAAAGTCACACGAGTCCAGGAAGTACAGAGGGTCCCATTCAAGAGGGTCCCATTCAATGAGGCCCACTCCAAGATACATCATCATTAGGATGGCAAATATGAAAGACAAACAGAGAACCCTAAAGGAAGCAAGGGAGAAAGAGTTAGCAACATAGAAGGGAGCCCCAGTATGGCTAGCAGCTGACTTCTCAACAGATACACTACAAACTGGAAGAGAATGGCAAGAAATAGTCCAAGCCATGAAAAGCAAAGGCCTGCAACCAAGACTGCTCTACCCAGACAAAAGAAGGCAAAAGGAATGCACCTCCACCAAACCAGCATTACAACATATGCTAAAGGGACTGCCTGACGAAGATGAAGAAAAAGAGTCTATGCATACCCAGCTCCTTTCACAGTCACCAATATTTTTAATGCTTATATGAAATACAAAATAT